GTCTGTCTGTCTGTCTGTCTGTCTGTCTGTCTGTCTGTCTGTCTGTCTGTCTGTCTGTCTGTCTGTCTATCTATCAGGTTACCGCATCCAAACTTATAATTTTCAACAAGCGGCGTTCGGGAGAGGCATTGAGACTTCTGTTAGAAGATTACAAAAAGCGCCTAAAATGGGATGAAATCCGTTGCCAAGAGATATATCAAAGTTTACACCCTTTGGAATCCCAGCTTTGCAAAAGGTAAGTCATATATTGGACTGACGCATTCCATAAGATTATTCTCTGCTACCATCCAAAACACAAAAGAGCGAATTTCATTAATCACATTTACATTGAGGGGTAGCTTCAGGTAATTATTGTACGATGTATCAAACTTATTATAATATAGCCATACTCATTCGACTAATTAGCACGCGAAACTTTAAATTTCTATATTACATAAAGAAACGCTTTAGTATTCCCTATATAGACAATACAAAAGAATTGAGCATTATTTACACCTAGGGTGGGCTGGAGGAAAATTAAGGAAAAACGAAATAAATTCGCAGCCCCCCTTCATTCTCCACAGATTATTGTGAAGCCCCCCTGATGCCCTTCCTAATATTTTGAAGCGCACACCCCCCCCCCTCCCGCCCCCGAGCAACGCACAACTTCAAGTAGCATACCATGTTAAGTGAAATTAAGAGTAATTTCCATTCAATGAAGGAAAACAGAAGATACCCTTTTGTGCTGATCTTCCACATAATGTTGCAACTTGTAAATGACATTATATGCCCCCCCCCCCCCCCCCCACAGAAAAAATAATCTTAAGATATACTTATTTCCCTGTGTATCAGTTGTGAGGAATGAAATGTATTCCTTCTTTTTTGTTTCCATCGTTTAACTACATTACTCCTCAGGCTATGACAATGCACGTTCCTCTTCCCTTTTCCTCTACTCCGACGAGGGATTATTAAAAGTCTAAAACGTTTTTTTCGCACTTGTAAGCAAATCAAACACACGTCATTTCATTATACAGAACGCGTTTCAAGTCAAGAGGGCAGTGGCAGTCAAGGCAAGACCAAAAAGAAGAAGGCCTATGTAATGAAAACAAAAAGTAAGACCTTTAAGGTGTACATATTTGTTTAGCATGAAATTTTAGAAAACCACTATGATGGGAAATAAAGCCAATTGCAAAATTGGTTCCAATGAATTATGATCCGCTAATTGTTAATTAGAAATAAGAAATTTAGTATACCCGGTCAAGAGAGACGGCGATTGGAGTGCGAAGCACGGGAAGACGGGATCCCGGTTCACCTGGGTGAGAGTAGTCTCCCCCACAGCCGCTTTCAGTGTCGTCACGCAACGCTTTCTCCCCTGAGTAGCTACTCAGGGAAGAAAGCGTTGCGTGACGACACTGAAAGCGGCTGTGGGGGAGACTAAGCCACTCCCCGCTCCAATAGCTATTGTTCTCTTCTTTCACATACCCACAATACTTTGCAGCTTTGGAGCTAATCTGATTAGACAATGTTGAAAATATCTCATTTGATATCCAAATACAAA